ATGCCTACAGCCCAGCTGACAGAGCTCGCCAGTCTCCAGGCGGAGCTTGGCCGGATCCGTCAGCTCGTCAGCCTCCGTGAGTTCCAGCTGGACACCCTATCCTCCCCATATCTCCAGGAGAAGGTTTCTGTCCAGCCTGCGGCCCCGCATCCGGTCCAGTCAGCAGTTCTCTCGTCTCCAGGCCAAAGGACCGAGATTGCAGCCCATCCAACAGAGCTCGCCGGTCTCCGAGCTGAGCTGGTCCGACTCCGTCAGATCTTCAGTCTCCAGGAGTTCCAGCTGGACAATCTATCCTCCCTGCTTTTCCAGTTACCGGCTTCACCAGGTCCCGCGCCACCAGTCCAGTCAGCGCCAGTTCCATCGGTGGTCCAGGACACTCCGCCTCCGGGCCAGCCTGTCCAAGAGGCTCCGCCCCCAAGTCAGCCTGTCCAGTGGTCAGCGCCCAGTCCGGCGGCACCAGCCAAGGAAGCGGTCCTGACTGCAGCGGCTCCGCCTCCACTCCAGAAGTCAGTGGTCCCTCCTGCAGTGGCTCCGCTTCCGGTCCAGAAGTCGAAGCCTCCGGTCCAGAAGTCGAAGGTTCCGGTCCAGAAGTCGACGGTTCCGGTCCAAAAGTCGACGGTCCAGGTCCAAAAGTCAACGGTCCAGGTCCAAAAGTCGGCAGTCTAGAAGTCGGCTGTCCAGAAGCCGGCGCCTCCGGTCTGCCTGCCTGCTTCCTTCCCAGCATTTGGATCCTCACTTTCGCTCCACTCACCAGCGCGCCTGACACAATGGATGTTTTGTAGGCGTGAGATCACCAAAGATGATAGAATCTTTTAAATCTTACTTTCAGATAAGCTGATGATGTTCAGCAGCTGAAACTGGGGTGGTGGCAGGAACTCATCCGCAGAGAGAAAATGAATGCCTGCTAGAAACAAAATAGAACAAACAAACCAAAAACCCCATACTGCTGGGAATCGACAATACAGCTTATCTGTGCAGTAACGTATCAAAATGATTTCAGTTTTAAGATAGTTTCTGTTTTTCTTCAATGTAACATCAACTGTCTCCACCTGCATCTACATCTGCAACCTTCTCAAAACTTACCTTGTCATTCCTACTTACCTGTACTTTCCTTCTTGGAAGATGTTTTTTGACCTTAAATGACGAGAAGATTGTAGGTACAGCTGTGTCCTTCAGGCAAAGTCTCCCCTAAAATAAAAAAAAGAGATTCACATACACACACATCAGACAAGGTCAATTTCTGTATCTCATAAACACACTGGTACACCAGAGCACTGTGTGTGTGTGCACGTGCTTGCGTGTGTGTGTGCACGTGTATGTGTGTGTGTGTGTGTGTGTGTGTGTGTGTGTGTAAAAGCCATGTGGAGAGTGTTTATTTATAAAGCATATATGTCGTTAGATTTTATCCAGAATCCAGACTTTGAACATATATATTTTAATTACAGTTTGATTTATTTGACACCAGTAGAATGTTTATTATTTTGTTAATTTCTCCTTAAATGCCTAACGTTTTAGTTTAACATGAATATTTGTCATTCATCCAAATACATGAAGTTACACATTAAAGACTGACAAAAAAGTTAATTTTGATTATCTGAATAATTATCCATAGAATTAGATGGAAATTAATAACGTGATTGTTTCCCCATCTAAACAGCCCCAGTCACAGACAGTTCAAGGGAGGGGGGCATTTTTTTCTTGTTACACAGCAATGTAACATCTGTATATTATACAGCTAATGCTTCAATTATTTCAATCCTAACTAAAATATGAAGTAATGTGTTTGTATCCTGGAGTCCGTGGTGAAGTAATGACTCTCAAAGTGTTCACTGCACAAGCGGGAGTGTGAATTGGGAGTCCAGCACTCTCTTCTTTGGTTGCTTACCCAAAGGTCAAGCCTCTCTGGATCACCTAGAGGAAAACTTCATACAAAGAACTACTTAAGCATATGGGGTTTAAAACACGTACCGTAATTTCCGGACAATCGAGCATACCTCAATATAAGCCGCACCAGAAAAAAAAAAAGAGCGAGTTTATCTGATGGCATACAGACTTCTGGAGACTAACATCAAGCACTATCAACCAACTCACCGATAGGGTTGTCACGGTAACCGGTGTAGCCGTAAACCCCGGTAAAAAAGTTGACAATAATAATAACCGTCTTGTTTTTAAAAATATATATTATCTCGGTGAATTACTGTGGCTGCGGTGTAGGCGCAGTGACCCTTACCAGCCACCGTATCATCTGCTGAAGCTGCAGGCGGCACATGCGCACTTTATTGTTTACAGCCAAAACTTTCTTGTAGCTAACCCCTTCTTTCCACCGGAGCCGTCAGCAGCACGTTACTGCAGCAGCACGTCATAGCTGCTGATAGGACCCGCTGTGGTCAACAGAACCTTTTGCACTGGAGCCGTCAGCAGCGTGAGTTGGCCGCGTCTCAGGAGCAGCATGTTGCGGCCCTTACCTGCCGGTTCTATTTTCTACGCGCGACGCCTCTGAAACGGGTCAAGTTCGACATTTTTGGGGAAGGAAAGACAGGAAATCGGACACGGAAACGGAGTGAAGCTCCCGAGATTTTCAGAATAAAGAAACGTACTGCCTTCCGGTTGCTTTACTTTAAAAAAAAGTAACTAACTGTGCGGCCCCGTGAGAAGTTATCATCTAGCTAGCGGTCTCCTTTGTTTTTCAGGTCCGTATTGGCGATTATAAAATGGACAGAACATAAAACACAAACCTTTTGGAGCCATGTTGTAATTTTCTCCTGCTTGTTGTTGTGTTTACTGACGAAGTCACTCACGTGACTTTGTGCTCTGTCTGTGACAGCTGCTCCCCTGCTGCTTCGCGTCTCGTGGGAAGGGCCAAGCAGCATCTTACGCAACTAAGACGTGCTGCTGCAGTGACGTGCTGCTGACTGCTCCGGTGGAAAGAAGGGGTAAAGCTGAAATAATGGCCAAAGGTGTCATGAGTCTGCTGTTTTTCCCTCTGTCTATTTGCAGGTGGGCGTGTCGGAGAGCCTCAGCTGCTGCTGATTTCCCCATCAGCAAGGCCAGGGGATTTAAGGAGTGGCGTGTCCACACTCCAGCGCCGGTTGATACTCTCACCTGGGTAGCTTCCAGCCTCGTCCTGAAATTGTACAATGTTTGCAATCTTGCTCTGCTTGTCCTGTTTACTTACCTGTCCTGCCCCCCAGATCTACTACCAAGTCTCAGCCTGAGTTCTCTTCTGTCCTGGAGTGTGTACCTCAGCCTCGCCACTCATTATCCCCTGGTCATCTGCTCTCCGCCGTTCACCTGCTCTGGATATTTGTCAACCACATCCATCCAGCCTCAACCTAATTCTCCAGCGACCAGACCTGACCTACCCTCTCCTCACATTCATCCTCTGTTCTGGCTCCATAAGATCTCCCTTCCCTCTATTGTATCTTGTTCTCTCGTTCCTGGTTTAACCTCCGTGTGTTTGTTTCTATTTTTAGACCCCAGCCCGGTTTCCTCTTCGTCTAAGTTCGCCCTTAGTTCCCGTTGGCTTTTTCCAGCACCAGTTTGGAGCTGCATCCTTTATTATTATTTTTTCATTTAATAAAATCAAATTCTTATTTTCTTACCTCCTGCCTTGTGCTGATTCTTTCATGTGGGTCAGGAAGCTTCCTGCGATCATGACAAAAGGAGGAGACGGCAGCGCGCAGGACATTTATTATCCCTCAAAGAAGACAAAGTCGGAAGTTTGGGCATTTTTTGGATATTTGAAGAATACCGAGGGACAGTTGATAGAAGACGGCTTTCCTGTTTGCAGCACGTGCAGAAAAAGTGTCTGTGAAAGGCAGCAATGCTTCAAATCTCATGACACATCTGCGTAACCATCACCCACAACTCTACAGTCAACGCAAGGCAAGCTAACATTAGCGTTTTAGCTAAAATGCGTGATCCGAGGATTTGGGTTGAGGGAGAATGTAACAAGTCGCTATATAAAGCAGCCACAGCGCCGCTACCTGCATATAAACCGTGTCGTGGACACCGCCATGTTGAAATGACGCTATGCATTACGGGGCTCCCAGGGGCAGATAAGAGTTGGTCTCTCTCTGAGAATAATTATTAATTTAACAATGATTACTGCCTGATGACATTTTCCCACATCTGCAAAGCTCACTGGAAGGACACAAACCGAGGACAATAGGGTTTATTACTCAAGTAAGGGTAAAAAAGTATCTGATTAGAAGACTACTTGAGTACTGAGTATCTTCTGATCTAATATTTTTAAAATGATGACATCAAACAGAACAAAAAAGACGTTATGGGCAAATATTGGTATTTTAAAGACTAAAGGGGAAAAATGTAAATAAATTAAATACACAATTACAACATAACTAATTTTAGGCAAAATTTAGACACAAACCGAGGACAATATTTTCCTGATATACAGGGTGTATTTAGTTGTCTGAAAATGTAACACGTTTAAAAAAAACGCGATAATACTGAAAACCGTGATAATTTTAGTCACAATAACCGTGAGGTTAAATTTTCACACCGTGACAACCCTACTCACCGAGCTGCAGTATTTCTGTGGTCAGGTCTCTCTCCGAGTCCAAGAGCTCCACAAGCGGTCAGCCCACACAGCAGACAGGCGCTGAAGCGGTCAGACATGCGCCGGGCTGACAACCGGGGAGAACCGGGTGGAAGAATGGAACACAGAAGTGTCCCTCCGAGAGCTCCATCATATTTCAACCCATTTTTATGTTAAATGCACTGGGTTTTACCTATTATGGAACTACGATTGGGACAATATTCAGCGTAACTTGTACCAAGTTTTGTAACTGCAAACATGTTTCATCACATGTAACTTTGGATTCGTAACTTGTAACTTTGGATTCGTAACTTGTAACTTTGGATCCGTAACTTGTAACTTTGGATTCGTAACTTGTAATTCTCAATTCGTACTTGTATTTTTGTTTTGTAACAGGAACATTGTATTTTGTACATGTATTTTTTATTTTGTAAACGCAAACATTCATTCAGAAACATGAAACTTTTGTTTTGTAACTAGCAGACTTCCAAATTGAAAAAATCAAAGTACAAGTTTCAAATCAAAACTCACAAAACACACATTTCATTCTACAGGTACAAACCTCACATCCTACAATGTTACGGATCATTTTGTCTCGATTCTAGCGCCAGTGGGAGTAACTTGGGTGGAACCAATGAGAGCACGACTCTTAGCTACCAATCACGTTTCTCGAATTCCTGTCCAATCACTGGGAGAGGAGGGCAGGGTTTTGTCAGAGCCGTAAAGAGTTACGACACTCCAAGACTCCTATGGAATGGGGAAGTCACGTGGTTCACGTAGTGTCGAATAGTTCCAAACAGCCCCGCTGCTGCATTGACTGCAGTTCATTTCAACTATTCGGTGTTTCGGAAGGATTTTCTCCGGTAAGTTGATGAAATGTCATCATTTTGTTGCATTGTGAAGCGTTAGCTAACCGCTTCGTTGTCTCCTCACAGAACAAGGCTATCCCAGCATGCTTTGCACGCCGGCTGTGGATTTTCAACAGGCAGAGAAAGGGGAGAGCTATTAAGTTTTAAACGTAAATTTGTTAAAAACTAGCCGTAGAAACCTAAAAAGCTTAAAGCGGTTCAGTTTATAGACATTTTTCGTTTGTATATTTGTTCTTTAAATTACATTTTAGGCAGAAATCAGCCAGAACGAGTTTGTATCGCGGGTCCCAGTTATTCCTGTGTGTGTGTGTGTGTGTGTGTGTGTGTGTGTGTGTGTGTGTGTGTGTGTGTGTGTGTGTGTGTGTGTGTGTGTGTGTGTGTGTGTGTGTGTGTAGCGAATTAAACTTGTCATTTGTTTTAAGGACAACGGAGCAAAGAAGCGTTTTTATTAAGCTTAGAGGTGAAGAGTGAAGCTGTTTACACACAACCACAGAAGTTCTTCTGTGAAAAGTAGTTTTACATTCGGGGATTTACACAGCTGACACGTTATAATGAAGTAAAATGTTTGTGTGAAGAATATACTTTTTATCTTCTCGTGTGGATAAATGTAAAAATGTGTTTATTGCCTTTTTGTCACCTGTGGTCTCTGATTTTCTCTGTAGGACTGCAGGTGTCCAGGGTCAGGAGAGGCTTTACCTGTCCTGGGAGAGAGGCCTTCTACTGTCATCATGTTATTGTTATTTAGCTGTTTGATATTTGAACACATTTATTAAAACAAATACTAACTGAGAACTCTTTCTGATCATTGATTTTATCACCAGTTTTATTATTACAGATGTTTTTGAACATGTTACATGAACAGAAAATGAAAAGATGGTAAGGAGACAAGATTATTTATAATAGGTTACATTTATTTACAGATCAAAACCAGTATGGACCAGTTATGTACGGTTAAAGCAGGATTAACCTGAGTGACTCTTCCTGGATCCTTTATTTAAACTGAGTGAGCAGGAAGTCTTTAACAGTGCAGCTGGATCTGCTGCAGGAGGATCCAGACGTGGATGGAGGGCTGGAGCAGACCCGTGGCTGAAAGTTTCTGGTCAGAGGAACATCATACAGGATGGTCTGCAGAGAGAGCTTTGGGACGCTTCCTCTCACTGTGCACTCCATCGTCCATCTACAGGGCCTGCTGGGCTGGCTCAGACGACGGCTGTTACATCTCTGTGAATGACTTGCCTGTTAACAATAGTGGTGGTCTGCTGGTACCTCCTGCAGGACAGAGCACCACTGACCTCCTCCACATACATCTTCCTCAGGCTCATCCTCCAGACCCACAACTTCACCAGCACAGAGGCAGATGTGCAGCACAGTGCATGCTGACCTGTAATAGATTAAATAAGAGTTTGGTTTTTTATAGAAAAATGTAAAACAAACATATAACCTGCAGTACACTGGTTCTGTTCAGTTTAAAGAAAAGCAGCAGGGAAAACTACAGAGAATTTACATTTTGAAGACAGATCTAATCATTATTAGGCTTAAGTTGAATAAACAAATGCACATTGAAAACAGTTCAATGTTATTTTATTAAAAAGACAGTTTTTTAAAACGTTTTACCCTCATTTGATGCAAAATAAGTTCTATATATAATAAATAAATATTAATAAATAATAAATAGTTGAAATGAACTGCAGTCAATGCAGCAGCGGGGCTGTTTGGAACTATTCGACACTACGTGAACCACGTGACTTCCCCATTCCATAGGAGTCTTGGAGTGTCGTAACTCTTTACGGCTCTGACAAAACCCTGCCCTCCTCTCTCAGTGATTGGACAGGAATTCGAGAAACGTGATTGGTAGCTAAGAGTCGTGCTCTCATTGGTTCCACCCAAGTTCCTCCCACTGGCGCTAGAATCGAGACAAAATGATCCGTAACATTGTAGGATGTGAGGTTTGTACCTGTAGAATGAAATGTGTGTTTTGTGAGTTTTGATTTGAAACTTGTACTTTGATTTTTTTCAATTTGGAAGTCTGCTAGTTACAAAACAAAAGTTTCATGTTTCTGAATGAATGTTTGCTTTTACAAAATAAAAAATACATGTACAAAATACAATGTTCCTGTTACAAAACAAGAATACAAGTACGAATTGAGAATTACAAGTTAAGAATCCAAAGTTACAAGTTACGAATCCAAAGTTACATGTGATGAAACATGTTTGCAGTTACAAAACTTGGTACAAGTTACGCTGAATATTGTCCCAATCGTAGTTCCATATTTACCCTTTTACCCATCGACATATACCCTTTTAACTATTGTACCGTATATTACATCTAAATTTCAGGGTTAAACAGTAAATGTTAAAATAGTAGTTAGCTAGCTACTTTGATAAACTCAGATAGCAAAAGGCGGAAGTGACCTAAAATACATAAACATAATTTTACTTACCGAAAAAAATGAAGTGGAGACTCCTTGGACGCTCTATTAGTGCAATTAATGCCACAGCAAGTCATTTTGTCCAACAATTGTACCAATAATATCCTAAAAGGAACACACAAACACAGAGACTCAAAATCCCAGAACAGTTTCCAGGTGAGACCGAGGCTCAACTGAGGCCTTTCCACGGAGCTAGCTCTGTGGTCACGTGGGTCTGATGCTCATTAATTATACAGAATTTTAGGCTAATACACTTAAACAGAAGAGTGAGAAAAAAAATTCACCCCTCTCAGAGTTGTCATGAGTGTAAACTAGATCATTTAAACCAAAAACATGTTTTGGTACCAGGCTGTAAACGTGTTTATTTATGCTGTGAAATTGGTATTTTTAACATGGGAGTCAATGAAGATTTGCTCGCTTCTGACACCAGCCCCCAGTGGATGAGGGTGGAACTGCAATTTATGATACTTCTGGGTTGGCCTCAATTTTTGACCCTCATTGTGGGGGCTTGGTCTCCATGTATGACAGTTGTGGACGTTAAAATCTGATGGAAGACCAGAAAAAGGGCACTTTGGTCACTTCGGACAAAAAGGGCAAGTACTACACTACACTACACTGTATTATACTATACTACACTACACTACACTATACTGTTAGAGATTTTATCAATATATTTATCAATAAACCCATTTCCTGCAGCTAGAGAGAGACAGGAAACAAATTAAGCAGACAAGTAAACCAAATTGCAATCTGTGGCAAAAGCATGAGGCAAATGCCCCGAGGTTCTGCTCACAGTGTTTATATATAACAAAGCATAAGAAAGGAACAGAGGTGTGTAATGATTTAAATTACATGTTATTTAATAAGCCATAAGGCGTAGGATTCCCTAGGAAATATGAAATCAACCTTATGGATCTGTGAGGTTATTTTAAACCAGAAGATTGGAACTTTTTAATGCAGCGATTAGATAACAGCTTCGTATTCACTCAGAGACAACAGAAAAGAGAGAGTCGAGTTTAAAAGTTTAAAGATTTATTACTAAACAAATTAAACTAGACTGACTTTAAAACTAAATGTATGGTGTAACTAAAGTGGATGAGACGGTGAATGGATAACATGTGATGTTAATCAACCAACAAATCCGAAGAAGCGATTTGTTCTGACGGGAACTGTAGGTGATGTCTTCGCATTAAGCTTTGATTAGGAGGTTCATAAACACATGAGACACCATTTGCCGGTCTACCTACCCTTCAGGAAGTCCCCTTTAGATCAGGATTGTTGAGGTCCAGCTTGACCTTTTCTGGAACCGAAGCCGGTAGGAAATGCAGTGGTTGCCGACTAGTCTGTGAGATACTTTCGGGTCAAGACGGTTTTGTTGGTGTCTGGTGAGACCCAAATCTGGGTCTTGAGGGTTCAGCTTTTATTCTGAAAGGAACCGTTGCAGCAGTTGGAACAGCAACAGATTGTATCCAGCTTGTCGTTGGTTCTTTCGGCTGAAGAGGAAAGTTACGGATTGGCCACTCCGACACATTCTCTAGAACGCTTTGAACTGGCGTTAAAGATGACGTGGGCATAGTTTTATACTTCGGATGTTTTGATTTATGGTCGAATGAAAAATTGACAGATTTACCAAACACCACCAAAACCCCGCCTCCGTCAGATCTGGCAGATTCTGATTGGATCAGTAAAAGTAATGTGTCATGTCTTTTAACGCTACGTGAGATCAGTCCTGTTGGAACATTTAAGTCATAGTACTCATCATATTCTATAGGATTATAATAAAGTAATTAATATTTTGATTTCACAGATTGGTCACATCTTATTTAATGACTAACACTTGGCATGATTAGCTTTATTAAAATAGTTTTTTGATTAATTAAAAGGAGATAGTCCATTCTTCATTCTTCTCTTGAGCTGAAAAGAAGCAGTTTTATAAGCGAATGCATGAGACCTTGAGGCCATATCTCATGCAGACTAGTTCTGTGTCAAAGAAGAGGGGGAAACAGTCATTTCATTCCGTTACATATCCCCCCTTTTCAATGGTGGGGTGGTCCGTACAGAGACCACCTGGCGTTGAACAAACCAGAGTCCTAAAGGGACTCAGACGACAGGGGAAGGTGCAGTTCCCCAGGAAGAGGCCAACAGTGGTGAGGTACAAACACCACTCCGAAGAACAGTCTATGGTTTACACAGTCTCGCATAATCCCTTTGGAAGCACACAAGTCAGCAGATTATTAAGGTATCCACGTGGAGGTAATAATTCGAAGCAGGAGCAAAACTTTATTTATCCACGGGTAGGGAATACTTCCAAAAGAGTATACTGATCTTTGTAGTAGCACTTATCGTGATTCAGTGTGGGAAAGAGCAGCATGTCAGGTCCCAGCGAGCGAAGTATCCCAGCAGCCATGCCGGAACAAACGGATGTGCAGGTCCTACGAGCCGGAACACCCATCAGGAGGAGCGGAATACGATGACGAGTCATAGGTCCACCCCCAGGGAAGCGAGGATTATCAGCGAAACTCAGGAGAGGAGAGAGAGCACAGCACAGGGCAATTCAATGTAGACACAACAAAATGGCGTCTAATGCAAATTAACAAACAAAAAGAAACCTAGCACTGTCAGTACCTGCATGTACTATGTGAAGGCAATTATGTGAATTAACCTTAAAGCGAAGAAATGGGTGCAATAGACTACATGTAATGCAAAAAGTGGTGCAAAAAGAATAAAATTAATAAAACCCTATACTGCGTATGGGAGAAATCACTGTACTAAGTAAAAATGTCTTCAAAATGAAGGGCGAAATTGGTTGTAGCTCATAATGGTAAATTAACTAAGTTAATCATAAAGTTTTCAAAACAATCACTGTTGTAAAGTTCTATAAAAAGATAGATATATGAGTGTCAAAGAGCACTAAAATGTAAATCAGTGAGGTTAGTAATCAACCTACACGTGAATGTACCCATAAGGAATTACGATTAGTGAAAATAATTTTTAAAAAAAATTGGATAACAGTGATATGTGGACTAAACCCATTTACTGTTAACTACCTGATTACCTGACTTCAGGAACCCACAGCATGTTCATCTCAAATCACCCAAGTCTGCACGTCATGTATAAACAGGAAAGACAACCATGCACACACACAAACATAGACAAACTTGTGTAACTCGAGATAGAGAGCTATGGAACCGACGAGGCGCGAAATCACCCCCCTTTCGAAGTCGGTAAGTTGTTGGTGGTAGCATTGACCAAATTAGTGGAACCCTTGTGCAGTTTGATTTGGTCCCTGTGGACCCATAGACGGGTTCCTTGTATGTTTGGGTAATCTTGATCTGATACACGACTGGAGAGAGCTTATCAGTC